AATAAAGAGTTATCACTAATGTAAGGTCTTCCAAATTAAACACAGATCATATAGTTGAAAAAGCCCATTGAAATTTGCATAAGTTATGCACCCATATCAAAAGACTAATGAATTCTATTCTTCCAATAGTAGTTGTTCTGATATATTTTAGCATCCTAGAACTATATATATGACATTTATGCTGAACATCTGGTGGAGTATTATTCTTCCAATTCACTTTGGTTCCTTGACACTATGAAAATTCAGTATTTATATGTTTGCAATGTAAAACAAAGGCAAAACAAAACAGAAAAATATGAACACAAGAACTTTGTTCTACTCTGTTTCCTTCCACACATACTGCCCCATTGTGTTTCATTTGTTGCTACTGATATGAGCCATAGCTAGTTTATTATTCTTACTAACTTTCCGTCTGAAAAGAAAGAAGTACTTGTGACTGTTCTAGGCTAGTAAAAAAAAAAAAAACACTAAGAAAAAAAACCCACCTCTGTGTCATAAATCTCTCTATATATGCTTTTTGTATCACACAAAAAAGTAAGAGTTGTTGAAACCTTCCTACAAGGTGGAGAAAAACTTGACTTGCTGCAATCATCTGCTTAAAGTGAGTACTCCTATAAATACAATGACAAACTATTTTTGCCAACCACATCACAAATAATTATTAATGTGGTAACTTTAGCTCCATGTTTTGAGTTTCTCTTGGGCCAGGTGTGGGGTGGGAACATGCTCTTTATGGTAACAGTTCATTGGATCATCTGCTGACAAAGCAGATTTTTTAAACCTTATCCATAATCACCCTAATTAGGCCATCCAGTGTCAGGACTTGCTGTGTGAATTTCAGTAATTCTAGCCATCTCTGTGGTGCAACTGACATTGCCCACATAAAAAGGAGTGACTCTGCCTTCGAAGCAACTTCCTTATGCTTACGTCCTCTCCCCCTCTACATGATTGTATTGAAAAAGTACTAAGGAAGGTTTGCAATGCTGCGCTCACAACTTTAGGAAACTTCCTTTCAGCTGACAGAAAGTTTTTTATATAACTACTAGAGGCCTGGTGCACAAAATTTGTGCATGGGTACGGTCCCTAGGCCTGGCCGGTGATCAGGGCCAATCTGTAGGGCAACTGGTGGGGCGATCTGGGGATCCCCGCTGGCACCCGCCTTGGCCAGCCTGGGGCCTGCGGGCTGGGGGCAGCTCCTTTGTTGAGTGTCTTCCCCCTGGTGGACAGTGTGCATCATAGCAATCGATTGTTCCACCGTTCATTCCGCAGTTTGGTCGATTTTCATATTAGGATTTTATTATATAGGACAACACTATTGCCTTTATATCTTCTTGTGGCACTTAATTTATAATACAATTTACAATATGCAGGTCGTTCACATCTCTACCTTCCAAAGATTGTGAGCAATATTTGATCATTGTTTGAGCCTAATAGATGCACTGTTCCCAATGCTGTAGCACAAATATTTGACATGGTTATGCAGAAGAGGACTCCTGAAAACTGACATACAATCCTATATTTCCATCCCCACCCTTCCCACCACCACACACCTGAAGAAAAGTAAAAACAAGGGGACTTGTTTTCTTAATGAAAGCATGCTTTATGTTGTTCACTAGGGGATTTATATATTTAAACCTACTTATTTTGTGCCTCTGAGGAAATACTATTGCATGAAGGTTGATGGTTAAATTTTATGTGTAAACTTGGGCTAGAGCAGTCATGGCGAACCTTTTGAGCTTGGCGTGTCAGCATTTTGAAAAACCCTAACTTAACTCTGGTGCCGTGTCACATATAGAAATGTTTTGATATTTGCAACCATAGTAAAAGAAAGACTTATATTCTTGATATTTATTTTATATATTTAAATGCCATTTAACAAAGAAAAATCAACCAAAAGAATGAGTTCGCATGTCACCTCTGACATGCGTGTCATAGGTTCGCCATCACTGGGCTAGAGCATGGTGCCCAGTTGTTTGGTCAAACACTAGACTAGAAGTTGCAGTAATGGGTATTCTGTAGATGTGATTGACATTTATAATCAACTAGAGGACCGGTGCACAGAATTTGTGCACCCTCTCCAATCTGGGACCTCTGGCTCCCAACAGCTCACCTGCCTGCCTAATTGCCCCTAACCACTTCTGCCTGCCAGCCTGATCACGCCCTAACCACTCCCCTGCCAGCCTGATTGACGCCTAACTGCTCCCCTGCAGGCCTGGTCCCCCTCAACTGCCCTCCCCTGCAAGCCTAATCCCCCCTAACTTCCTCCTCCCTGCAGGGCCCGGTCGCCCCCAACTGCCCTCCCTGCTGGCCTGGTTCCCCCCAACTGCCCTCTCTGCAGGCCTGGTCCCCAAAACTGCCCTCCCTTGCCGGGCCATCTTGTGGCGGCCATCTTTGTGACCATGGGGGCAGCCATCTTGTGGAGGCCATCTTGTGACCATGGGGGCAGCCATCTTGTGGAGGCCATCTTGTGACCATGGAGGCAGCCATCTTGTGGAGGCCATCTTGTGACCATGGGGGCAGCCATCTTGTGGCGGCCATCTTTGTGACCATGGGGGCAGCCATCTTGTGGAGGCCATCTTGTGACCATGGGGGCAGCCATCTTGTGACGGCCATCTTGTGACCATGGGGGCGGCCATCTTGTGCGAGGATGTGATGGTCAATTTGCATATTACCTCATTATTATATAGGATAGGCTTTATATAAAGGAGATGACCCTCAATAATGAGGGTAGGCCTCAATCTCTTGAAGGCCTTAAAAGCAAAAACTGAGGTTTTCTGGAGTAGAATGAATATTAATTCATTAAGATAGTAAGCGAAATCCTGCCTATGGATTTTGGACTCAAGACTGCAACTTCAACTCTTGCCTGGGTTTTCCACCTGCCAGCCTGCCCTACAGATTTCAGACTTGCCGGGTCCCATAATTTCATGAGCCAATTCCTAAAAAGAACTCTCTCTCTCCATATATGCATCCTATTGGTTCTGTTTCTCCGGAGAACCCTAACAGTTACTAGTATATTTCAAAACAGTTCTTTTTGTTATAATATTTGTGAAACTTTTGCTAATTGAATATAATTCTATTCCCAATTTTGTTCCATGGAATAAGGGTAGGAATTATGACACTACTTGCTAATAAAATTCAGTTTCTCTGCTGGTTTGGAGCATAAGAGAGTGTTGTCAAAGGAATTCTACAATAATGGTACCTCTCCTAACCAGCGGGGACATTTTATACCAGTTTTTAATACGGAGCTCTACTTGAGTGTTCGGCCCATCTATACATTTTCCCAACCTAGGTCACACAAATGACCAAATCCTAACCAACTACCAACAAAATATCTGAGAAGTTGGCTCAACATATTTTCAGAAAGAGATGGGACATGTTTGGGGCACACTTCGGGCAGGATGGAGTTTCACCGGTTAATACAACTCAAAATGGGAAGTTAGTGTGTCCAATTTCCATTGCCTCATTCATCAAGAGAGTTTGTGTTTTGACTTTTGGAAGTCATTTCATTGCATGATGTAATGGAGAAAATAATGGAGATTACAAATTTTCTTTATGCTTGTTTTTTTTTAACCACTGCCAGTTTATGGGTATTTAAGAAATTGAAACAAAGAAAATAGATTCAATTTATTTTCACTTAGACAATTGGTTAAGTCCTGGAAAACTCTGAAGATATATATTGAAATGTTTTTAGAATGAAAAGGTTTCAGATCCCACGGTCCCCAAAGGCTGCACACTTTTCCCTGAATTACATAACAGAACTCTGTCCAGATTCCAACTTGACATGTGCAGTAAGAAGATGGTACCTGAGATTATTGTTTTTAATACTGAACATCTCTAAACTTAAAGGAATAACAGATGTTAAAGAGTTACAGGAAGCTATTCTTAGTTTTGGAGATTGTGTGTGAATCGTGTTTGCTGTGACTTTGGGATACAACCACAAGATGTGTGTGATTGTAAAGCCCCTGCCCTATTTAAGGCGGCTCATTTTCGAAAGAAACCGCTTATGCTAAAAGCCAACTAGACCTATTGACACAGGATCTTAGTGAATATTTAGAAGGAATCAGCTGTGAAAGGAAAAGTACATATTATTATGTAATTGTTTGTATCAAATCTGCTTCTCTCTTCCAGCTTCCTACAGAGGAGGGTCCGGCCTTGATAGAACAATTCTTTGGGGCTTTTGTGATTCTGACTCAGAAGGAAAGAGAGCTGGGGGAAAAGATCTGAAGCACAGAAGCCAGGGCTAGAGAACTGGCCACATTTTGAAAGCACGCAAGCAGTGACCTTGTGCGAGAACAGCGGAGGAGGAAAAAGAGAAGTGTTTAAGATGTGTTGTTATTTATCTGCTTCACAGTGTTCAGGGTATGAGAACTTTAAAAAGTTATTTCATAATTAGATTTCAGGTGCTTGCCTGTGGTTTTTTGGATATGGTATTGCTCTAAGTCTGGACCACATGGGTCACAGATTTCTAAACTTTACACAAAATAGCAATCTGGAGCTATAGGAATTTCAGAACAAACTTTGAGTAATATTTGTGGCTTCCTGGGTATTTTATGACATTAGAGCGATAAAAGGCTTCATCAGTAAAATAACCTCAATCAGATGGTTATGAGTTTAGAATGAAAACACCCTCCCATCTCCTAGTATATTCCAGGGTATAAATAGCAGTACTCTCTTTAAATTGACCAGTCCAGTACCCCTAGGTATTAGAGTATACTTTTTTAAAAAATAAAGTTTATTTGGTCTTGGGATTGCCTATTTACGTTTGCTTAAAAAATACTGTTTTGAATTGCGAATAGGCTATAATCACTAATATTAGTAATAAAAAAATTTAAATATTCATAAAAAACTGGGTTGAAAACATGCTCTGAGGCCGCCTGGGTCCTGGGGAATCTGGTCAACGTATAACTTGAACAATCAGTTCTTGAGTAATGTACACGTTTCAGTCTGAAAGAGTGAAAACTGGCTTTCTTTCGATAATAATGTTTAGAAAGTAGAAATACCTTGTATGTGGAGGGGGCCTGTATTACAGTTCTTTCACAAAACGAATACCATGCTGCCAATTCCATAATCAAGGTTGACAAGATGTGCCTCCTTTTCTTCAGAAAGTTACCGTTCCTCTTCCACCTTTGCATTTGCTCACAGCTTAAGCTTTGTATCTGGGAAGTCCTTGCATGGAAATATCCTGTTAGCCAAAAGCCTGGACACTCCAGGATTCATTCATTCCGCCAACATCCCAGGAGCGCCCCCTTCATGCAAGACCCTGGGCTCAGCGCAGTCAGCCAGAGGATGTTAAAATATCACAGAACAACTACTATTGGAAGAATAGAATCCATCAGCCAGAGGAAGTCCCTGCTCCGAGGGGCACCTGTGCAGCCAGGGAAGGGCCCGACTGCCCTGAAATACAGCATGGCGGCTGCACAGTCGACGAGCCTGCAGTTACTACGACGGCGAGAAGGTCGAGGACCAGAGCCCATCACCGCGGTCTCCCTTCCGTCAGGTCCCCGTCCCCCCCAGCCCCCTCGGCCAGCCCTGGGTCTAGAGAAATGGAGCCCTAGAGCTGGATGCAGAACTCGCACTCCCAACGCGGAGGATGTCAGGGCGCAGGGGGGCTAGAAAGAGGGGAGCCCATGCCCAGGCAGCCCAGGGACGGGGCCCCACGACCCTTGTCGGCTCTACAGCAAATAGGAAGGCGGCGGGGAGGAGCTCGGCCCCCAGAACAGGTCTCACTCGGGGCGCGGGGCGGTCCTCGCCGTCGGACTAGGTCCGCGCCGGGCGGTCGTGGCCCGGGCTTCGGGGGCGTGGTCTCCGCGAAGCCCCGCCCCCAGGCCCCGCCCCCCAGGCGCGCGAGCCCATCCCGCGCGGCGCCAACCCTTCCC